CCACCTGTGGCTTTACTCCCAAGTCGACCCTTGTTCCTTAGTTGTTCCCTTCTCCTGACAGCTCTACGCATGCGCACATTGGGAACAGGCTCCAGCTATTCTTCTGCCCCACTGATGTCTGACTCCGAGGCAGCTGATAACTATCAGACGGCTCTGGCCCCTTCTCTGCCTCCGATGCAGAGCCCTCATCAGAGCCTTCCCCAGACTCCAGGACTGGCCCAGGTTCCTCCCCAACCTCCTCACTGTCTGAATCTGCTGCCAGATCTGCTGGCCGCTGGTGGGGCAAAACACCTTGCTACTTCTTGGGTGTTGTTATATCCTGCAGGTGTGTATTTCTTTTAAATTGCAGGTAACTCTATCCCAAGAAGATATTGCTATGGTTCATAGCCATAACCATAAGCAAGCGAAAGATATTGAGCTAGGAGACTCAGCAAATAACAGGACAGTGCTATACAGGGGTGGGTTCCGGCAGAGATTACTACCGGTTTGCAGTACAACTAAAATTGCTCCGCGCATATGCAGAAGCAAGAAGCAAAATGACGGCACCTACAATGCTGCCGGGAGAACTGGTTTGGGGACATGCTACTACCAGTCCGAACCGGTAGGAACCCACCACTGGTGCTATACATAGCAATAGCATGTCCCCCCCCCCCGGTCCCCTGTTTTTGCTCACAGGAGGCTGTAGGGAGACTTACTAGGTTCAAAATGGGGCATGGTGTGTGTGTGTGTGTGTGTGTGTCAGGTGCACATTGCATTATGGTTCTGGCACTCGACAACAAAAAGGTTAATCATCACTGTGCTAGACTTACAATGCTAAAAATAAACCATAGATTCTCCTGTTTTCTCCCAAGCTGCAGTTCCTTTGGCTAAGTTGTTGTGTAATTATTTCATAGCTAACCGGGAAACAGCGTTTGTTCACGCAATCAGCTCCGCCGGGGTCATGTACACATTGACGCGAAACTGCAGCCTTGGGGACTTTGACAATTGTGGCTGTGACGATTCTCGCAATGGACAGTTTGGTAAGAAGTCACCTCAGCAGGACATTTCCTCTCTACGTAGCGGCTTTTTCCCCTCGCCTCTTGCAACACTAAACTTCTTTCTAAAAAACACAGTTTAAAGAGCAGTTGATGTATTTTGAACATGGATGACACACTCAAAAGCCTTTAAAAGAACAAGTGCAGACAAATTGTCTCCTATTTGCATGGTTCTATTTATAACTTTTCCGTGATCAGGAACCTGAAAACAGCTGATATTTATATAGCTATGCAGGTATTTTATCCAAGTTATACTCTCAGCCCCTCCATTCTGGGATAAAGTCCAGTAATGATAATGCTATTTTTTATTCACTAAAGCTGCGCCTTTTTTTCTCCTATTTACTGGCTTGATTAATCAAGGGATTTCCACAATGTCAGGTCGGTCTACACTCGTGGGCCTGATGGGCACTTGCCCGTGGGCCCCACGAACATAGGGGCCCCTTACTAATCTGTGTGTCAGGCCCGGAAGCCATCTCTGGCATTGGGCCTTCAGGTCTGCCACATTTATTGCTGTGGGAACCTGGGAGCAGGGGATTATATGGAGTATGCGAAATATATATATAGTTGGGAGGGTGCCTGATTGGACCATGTGATGGACATAAAGGAGCTGGGCAGGGGCTTGGACTTTCGTTTGGTTGGGGAAATCCTGGAAGCTTTCAGATTTGGGGTTTCCCAAATGTGCCAATATGACAGCTCTAATAAAATGGAACTTTGAGGAATCTCAAGCCTCAGAGTCTTATTTTATTGGGGTGTTACTTGGAATCCTGACACTGTGTATGTTAACCCTTCAATGCAACTTGTATCATACAAATGCAGTAACATGTTTATTACATTTAACTGCACCTTTAAATTAATACTAATTACTATTACTACTATTTAGTATTAGTATTAAATACTATTAATACTAATACTAAATAGCCATGCCCCAGTTTGTATGCTATGAAAGGCTGCCAGTTTATTGCTGGACTAACTAAATAGCTAAAACCTAAAATAATATCCCACACTTTGGGGGTGGGGGGAAGGAGAGGCCTCTTTGCTAGGATGATTCCCCTCCCTACAGTGACCTTTTATGTAAATGGAGGACAAAGGCATTGTCTGTTTTTCTTACATGTGACTTGGTATCAGGGGTGGACTGCAATGGGTTTGCCTGAGTTTGGGAACCCAGGCGAACTAATGGGGGACTAACGTTATAGCCGGTTCGGAGAACCTCCAAATCCCACACCTGGCTGGCCACGCCCACCACGCCCCGTCCCTGCCACCCCACCACACACCTCCCGGGAGTCTCCACCCGGCCCATTTTGGATGCAAGGTAAGTGCAGGGCCCACGTGGAGGAGGCTTGGGGAGGGGGGGGAATCGGCCTCCCGGAAGGCCTCTAGAGCCTGGGGGAGTAAGTTTTCACCCTCCAAGATGCTTGAGAAAAGCCTCCGGAACCTGGGAAGGTGAAAACGCCCCCCTCCCCCCGCACCACCATGGTGCAGGAGGCCGACTAGGCCATACCTACCATGCCCATGCTCACCCAGCAACCGAGCAGAGAACCCGTTGCTGAAATTTTTGAAGGCCACCCCTGCTTGGTACTCTTAGCAGAACAGTAATTCAGGATAGGCCAAAACTTGGAATGGATGGGATTTGGGTGCGAAAGGATGAACATGTATTATGAATCCCCTGCCTTGAACTCTGCGCTTCAGCCGGATCTGATGCTGTTCTTAGCATACTCACTTATGGATCCCCATCTAACAGTCGGGTGACACGTTTGTCTCTGCAGGAGGCCAAGGATGGCTGTGGGGAGGCTGCAGTGACAACGTGGGCTTTGGGGAAGCCATTTCCAAGCAGTTTGTGGATGCCCTTGAAACAGGGCAGGATGCCAGAGCAGCCATGAATCTGCACAACAATGAAGCCGGCCGAAAGGTAATTTCATTTCCATATACCGCAAGGAGAAAAGTCAGGAAAAGCAAGGGCGGGAGTCAGAGCAGGGGTGAAACCCAGCAGGTTCTGACAGGTTCTGGAGAACCGGTAGCGGAAATTCTGAGTAGTTCGGAGAACCAGCAAATACCACCTGTGACTGGCCCCAGATTGGGGTGGGAATGGAGATTTTGCAATATCCTTCCTCCAGGAGTGGGGAGGGAATGGAGATTTTGCAGTATCTTTCCCCTGCTATGCTCACCAAGCCACGTTCACAGAACCAGTAGTAAAAAATTGAATTTCAGCACTGAGTCAGTCTTCAGATGTTTGCTATGTGTAAATTTTTAATGAAGCATTAGGCAGCTGAAATAACCGATTCTGTGTTATTGGGGAATTTCAGTAGGAAAGAAGAAAAAGCTAAAAAAAAAGTGGGGGTGATCCAGGGGTGGGATCCTACCGGTTTAACAACTGGTTTGCTGAGTATGCCTACGCAGCTTAGAAAAGATTTACCTTCCGGATTACTGCTTGGGAAGGAAAACAGCTGGGGCACAGCAATCCACTCTGCCGTGTGATTCAGCTGAAAAGATAAAGGTAGGTAAAACGCAGGAGGTGGCGGGCAGGCCCACTTGCTAGAGGGAGCGAACCAGTTCGCTCCCATCTGATCTTCGGAGCTACCGGTTTGGCAGAAATCAGTCCAAACCGGTTGAATCCCACCCCTGGGGTGGTCCTGTATGTGGAAACGTCCTTGGGAGACAGAGAGAAGAGATGCTGCTTAGGGAACAGTCAGATAAGAGATATCATAGCCCACGGCTGCGAAGTGGAGCAGAGGTGGGTTGCTCCTGGCATTACTGCCGGTTCGGTGCGTGCAAACATTTTGTGTGTGCACGCTAGCTTCACTCGTGTGCACATCTGACGTGTGCTCTGCGTATGTGCGCTTTTGCACAAAAAAGGTCTGTGCATGCGCAAAACATTAAAAAAGGGGGAAAGAATACATTTCTGCAATTAGGATTGTTCTGTGTATGTGCAGAACCGAAAATCAAGATGGTGGCCCATGGGTGAACTGGTTCGGGGGCATGGCAGGCCTGGGTCGCTGCCGTTTCCAGAGACCCAGGCAGCCAAATCACTACCGGTTTGGCCAAACCGGTCCAAACCGATATGAACCCACCTCTGGAGTGGTGGGAGCAAGAGGCTCAGAACAGAACAGACCCTCCCAAAGTTATCAGTCTATAAAGATGACAATCACAGAATTACACTTTCAGCCTTGCAAGGTTCTGCTAATGGGGTTTTTACAATAAAATAGTTCTACCTTATCTGTTCACATTTCCTGCCTGGTGTACTTTTGTAAAGCTGAGGCTTCCAATATTTATTCTGAATGTCCATTCGGGCAGAAAGCCAACATACTTTGCAATGCTACGGTGTCGAGTTGGGCAAGTTGACTCTTTGGCTTTGGCAATTCTTTGGTTGTGCAGCTGATTGAGGTATGATTTCCAGCTCTGCCAATCATGAAAGGGGCGTTACTTGTTCCAAGGCAGGAGTGGAGTGTGAAACCTTTTTCTTAGGAAGGTCTGGGTCACATACCGGGAAAGTCAATTGAGGTCTGGACTTTTGCAATGCTTGGAGCTTGAACCAGATTTCCCAAATATCTTGGACAGGATGACTCTGCTGTCTTTTCTCTTACCACCAGTCAGCTGCAAAACAGGTGACAGCCAAAAAGTCTGAGCAATTTATCATTATTAATTTTTGTACAGTCGACCCTTTGGAACGAGCTCCCCGTGGAGATTCGTACCCTCACCACCGTCCAGGCCTTCCGCACAGCCTTGAAGAACTGGCTAGCCCGTCAGGCCTGGGGATGAAGATAGTTGCCCCTCCCGAATGATGAATGCATGTTGGTTATTGCTTTTATTATATGTGTCTTTGTTATTGTCTGCATTTCCCCTTCCCTGATTTTATGTGAGCCGCCCTGAGTCCCCTCAGGGAAAAGGGCGGCCTACAAATGTCAATAAATCACTAAATCACTAAATCACTATGCATATAGTAAAATACCATTTGCATATAACTAACATGACTACCACTTCCTACCATCAAACTTATTTTTTTTTGTAGAGTTAATGTGATAGGAAGGAAGGAATACTTGGTTAATCCAAATAATAGCTTTGAAAACTAATCACTGCATTTAGCCCTTCATTATTTTAATCTGGAGAAAGAAAGCAAGTTGCTCATAGCATTGTATAGGCCTGTGAGGGCGAACCTATGGCACGCATGCCGGAAGTGGCACACAGAGCTATCTCTCTGGGCACGCCAGCCATCACCCTTCTGGGTTCCGGCTTGCCAGCTGGTCTTTACACATGTGAGAGTGCCGGAAACTGAAAAAGCAGCTCCCTGGGGCGCATGTGCATGCCGGGAAGCTGAGCTTCCAGTTTCTGGCGTGCGCATGGGTGCTGGCCAGCTGGTCTTCACATGCACATGCAAACCAGAAACTGGAAGACCAGGTGACTGGCATGTATGCGCAGGCCGGAAATCAGAAGCATGTGCATGCAGGGGAACTGCTCTTCCAGTTTCCGGCACTCCCATTTGTGCGCACCGGGAAGCCGCTCTTCCGGTTTCTGGTGCTCCCCTGCGCCAACACACACTCCCATTTTGGCACTCGGTGCTGAATTGGTTTGCCAACACTGGTATAGGCATAACAAAGCATTTTTGTAGCCAGGTGTTAAGAAAGATTTTAGGCAAAATCTTAATAAATTCTCTACGTTGAATCAAAATAGGACATTCTTGTTCCTTAGTTTTGTTTGTTGCATGACCTCTCCTCTGTTGTTGCCTTACTCTCTAGGCAGTGAAAGGGACTATGAAGAGAACCTGCAAGTGTCATGGGGTTTCGGGCAGCTGCACCACCCAGACCTGCTGGCTACAACTCCCCGAGTTTCGAGAAGTGGGGACATACCTGAAGGAGAAATACCACAAAGGACTGAAAGTAGACATACTGAAAGGGGTGGCCAACAGCGCTGCGAGCCGAGGCGCCATAGTGGAAACCTTCAGCTCAATCTCCAAAAAGGAACTGGTCCACTTGGAAGACTCCCCTGACTACTGCTTGGAGAACAAGACTTTGGGCCTCTTGGGTACGGAAGGCCGGGAGTGTCTGAAGAGGGGCAAGGCCCTGAGTAAGTGGGAGAAACGGAGCTGCCAGCGGCTGTGTGGAGACTGTGGGTTGGCTGTGGAGGAGCAGCGAGCAGAAATGGTGTCGAGCTGCAACTGCAAGTTCCACTGGTGTTGTGCAGTCCGTTGTGAGCAGTGCCGCAAACGTGTCACCAAGTATCACTGCGTCCGCAAGGAGAAGGGAGAGCAGCATGGCGTCAATCTGCCCCCACGCAAGCTCAGGAGGAAGCAGCCTTAGTGCCGACTAACCATCCTTTGCTCTTTCGTAACGTCTCATATTTTACTCCCTTCTACTTTGTTTTCCATATTTAGATCTATCTGTGAAAAGGAAGCCTTCGCCTATCTAGTCTTTAAACCCCCATTTTGGAGAACCCATTGGAAGAAACTTGTAGATGTTCTGGGAAAAATGAACATAGTCCCAAGCTGATAGACCGTTATGGAATGAGTATGGCTTCAAAGCCAAAGTGAGGGAGGATCTGAAAGGATTTAGCCTCCAATTCTGTTGGGAGTAGATTTAGACATTCTTCTTGCATTCCTCTGTGGCAACTTGAAGGCAAGTATCAAATGAAGTCCACAAACATTTGCCATTCCCTGATCAAAATATGCAAACGGACTGAATAAAAATAAAACCAACCAACCAATCAACCCACTTTGTCCGAAAATAAATTCCTGAAAGCTGATCATATCAGCTAGAATTTAACCCCCCCCCCCCTATTGAAGAATTGCAGAAGTATTTTGAATTGTTGGGTAGGGATTCATGAGTTCTGTTGACAGCTAAGTAAACTGGAAAGCCATTTTGGTTTAGTGGTGAAGACATCATACTAGAAACCAAGAGACCATGGATTCTAGTCTTGCCTTAGATCAGGGGTCGGCAGCCTTAAACACTCAAAGATCCACAAAGGTCCTAACTGGAAGTTCAATTCTGGAGCCGACTGGAAATCCGATTCCCCCACCATAGAGTCTCCTCCTAGCACAGCCTCCTTTTTCTTCTGCTGACTGGAAGTCCGGTTCCCCCACCATAGAGTCTCCTCCTAGCACAACGTCCTTTTTCCTCTACCTGTCCTAACTGAAATCCCTATCAATTGTGGAGCCGACTAGAAAAACCTGTCCCTTGCCATAGAGTCTCCTCCTGGCGTGCCCTGCTCCCCTGTCCCAAGCTGGAAGCTCCTCTCAAAATTGTGGTGCTGACTGGTGAAAGGGAGCCACAGCAGAGGGATGAAAGAACCACATGCGGCTCCTGAGCCACAGGTTGCTGACCCGCCTTAGGCACAAAGCCAACAGCTGGATGATCTTGGATGAGTTTCTCTCTTTTTGCCCCTGGGAAGGAGCAAACCATTTCTGAAAAGCCTTGCCAAGAAAGTCTCCAACAATTGGACAGTGACTGAAAAGAAGAATTTTTTTAAAAAACCTAGAGTAATATATTTTTCAAAGGCTTTGTGTTAACTAAAATATCAAATTTCCACCTATTGCAGATTTTTTGACCAGGTCTGAAAAGGCCAACATGCAAAGTAGTGACTCATGACAACAGCCCTTGTTTACAGAAAGGAAACCCATCCACGTATCCTGGGTTATCCAGTCTGTTTTGATGCTTCCTGCTGGATTTGAATGCCATGTGTCATGTGCTCATAATCAGGAACATTCGCAGATCTGAAAATCCAAATCTGTGACTTCAAAATAATTTCCCTTCTTCCACCGAGCTTCGATTTTGGCATCTTAGCCCTATAATTGAGTGAGCAAATTAAGGCTAGGAGTGAATTAAATAATTTTTATTTGGGATACCTGACTGGGTCAAGAGGCTCCTTAGGAGAGAAAATGTTGCTGAACTATGAAATTATCCTATTCATAAATAATACACTAGCCTATGGCAGGAAGGGAAGGAAAAGGCTGCCAAAATGGAATATCATTTTAAGGAAAACCTGACATATTTTTAGAAGAAGAAATAGGGGGCATACTGTTTCCTAATTTCAGACAAAATCTATTCAGAACCTTTTCATGTGATGGGTTGAAATCTATTTAACATTTTTGCTCATTTGATGGTTCTAGTAATTATCAAACTTAAGACAGACAACTATGTCTTCTATTTGTAATCCTTCCCAGCCTTTGAACCTCCCTCCCTCCCTCCCTTCCTTCCTCCCTTCTTTCCTTCCCTTTAAGGAGAATATTTGTGAGAGGAACAAGCACTATACTCAGATTCCATTTGGTTCACACAACATGCACAACCAGATTTAGTACCTAGCAGATGATTCACACAGCTGCTAAATTGGCCAAAATCATCTTTGGTGAAATTGTTTCATGGCTTAGCTTCAATGAATCAAACCCATGTGGTCACTTTATCTTTCAAATGTTGTGTCAGCTCAGTATTCAAGAACCAGATGAGATACATCGCATGAAAGTATCTTCTGTCATTCAGTTAGTTGAGCAAGTTGCTTTCACAGAAGCAGTAACTATACTTGTTCCTCTGATTTTTGATCACTACCACTAGCATCTGTGACAGCAGTGGGAGTCACTTACCTTCCTTACCGGTTTGCAAATGTGAGTGTGCGTAGAAGGTCGCACATTATGTTGGGGTGGGTGGGTGGAGCCTCCTGCAGCCACCGCTACTGATTCACCCGAACCGGACAGAACCGGCTGAATACCACCTCTGTATGGAGGATGGGTGAGGTGAACATCTGCAAGAAGGCAGCGGCAGTATCATGATCCAGACCCTGCCCCTTTTGTACACCTGTATGAAAGACGCTGAGCTCTGGAGTGTGAGAACACACCCATCATCTTGCAAGGCAATGATGCCCCCCCGCCCCATGTTGCTAACCATTAGTAGCTGCATATTATTGATTCTGATCCATTTGCAAAAAGACCCAACAAACTTGGGTGATGAGGGCTGCCCCAAACGATATCACAATCAGAGGAAGATACTTCATGATTGAGACTGTGTGGGGGCGACCAGCAGCCTCACTTAAAATGCTTTGGTTCAAGTCACTGGAAAAAGATGAAAGAAGGGAATGAGGAAAAACTAACAGGATATTTTCCAGATAAACAAAATAGTGGAGGGGAGATTGGCTGAACAGAATCCCACCCAAATAGATGCAATTTTCAATCTTTAGCTAATACTGTGTTTCCCCGAAAATAAGACAGATTCTTATTTTCTTTTGACCCCCCCCCCCAAATAAGCCCTTGGCCTTATTTTTGGAGAGGTCTTATTATTATAATTATAATTATATTATTATTTTGCAAACAAAGTTTTTTATTTTTTGTTACGTATTTGAAATTCCTTTGTAAACAAAGTGTTGTCCAGTTTTCCCCCTTTACTATTCTCACATATACATAATTCATTTTCCATTATATTTCCATTTCCAATTTTAGCTGTTCTTCCCATATTTTCCATCTTAGACTTAATTTTTCTTATCTTAAGTGATAATCACAATCAATGTCATTATTTATCCCTTCAGAAACAAATCAAATTTATCATTCCATTTCCATCTATTTTCTATAGGTAACATATATCTTTAAATTCAGTTTTTATAGAATAAGCATTTTACTT